TTATTTAAATATTTGTAGAATAGATTGCTACAACTGATTATATTTCTGCCGACCCTAAGAGTTTAATCAAAAGAGTAATTAAGTCATTACTTCTACCAGCATCTCAGTGTGCAGGCACACTGCAGAAAAGCCTCCATCTGTTTTGGCAAGTGCTCCAGCACTTCTGTCTGTGGCAATCATTTCACCTGCTAAGAGCAAACAGTTTCTGAGCAGTTCCCACTGAAGTCAGTTATTTCCTCGATTTCTCTCAGGAAAGCCTATACTTCTACACACAGGGAAAAGTTGATAGAGCCCTTCAAGGGTCTTCATTAGCTTAAGAAAAAAAAGCAGCATGTATTATCTTAACCAAAATGAGAATATTTTCCCTCTGTCTATGTGGTAAGTTAGACTGCAACAGAAAATAACAATACACGCCTTCAGGTTGCCCAAGAATGACATCTCCATACTGAAGAGGCATTCCTGCTAGTGTTTCTCATACCCCAAGAAAAGCTCCAGCAAGCAGATCAGAATTCATCACAACCCACTGAGTCATTAGTGACACATTTGCCAAGGAGCAGCTGTCAATGGCATGTCTCCTGTTCAGAGAGCTACAGCAGTCAAAAGTAAGGAATTAAAAAAATGTAACCAGTGGCTTATTAGAGCACAAGAGTATACTGCTTTTGTGTCAAGTCAAAATCCACCCATACTACTGAAAAATGTTCTAAAAAAAAGAGTAGATCCTTACACTTAAATATGTATTAAGATACAAGTACTGGTTCAGCACCAAACACAAAGGTACAAAAGACCCCAACCAACAACTATCATCAGAAGTCTTTCAGATGCCATTGTATTAAACGGACCACAGAGGTTTCACAATTCCATTAAACACTTCTATAAACATAATTAATGATCTCATTACAGCTGATTCCTTTTGTTTATTTATTGTTAAGGTTTGCTTTTGTGGCTTTCATGTTCTTTTGTTTTCAAAAAGTAGTCAGACTTGCTTTCACCTTCCTTTCAACTTCTAAGAGCAAGGGGTAAGATACCAGGACCCCCAGTTCACAGCTGTCCCCTCCATGACAGGGGAGACATTTAGACTTAAAAGTAAACCTGCTATTTGTCAAATGTCCATTTTTCCTCTATTGGTTTGTGGCATCAGTGCACGTACAGACAGCATTTCCATGCAGCAGCCCTCTCTACTGACCAAAAGATTGCTGCTAATATGTGCTTATCAAATATACTATGACTATTTCATTGGCTCTCCCGCATTAGATGCCATTTTGTCCAACTTCCTCTCTGCTTCCTTCTGTCACACAGCAACAAAATGGAACGGAATACTGGTGGGAAGGTTCAGCCTCTACACCAACATCCACCTCTGATATTGTGGGCCAACATAATAAAACAGGAGGCATTGCTTTTGAAGTATTTCCATTGGCCTCATTTCACACATTACAAGGCCCTGTCTGACAATTTTACTTTAAAGGTAATGGATGACTGAAGAAAACAAAAGTATAACTATTTGCAGCCTTTTCTGCTGCTTGGAAAAGAACAAACTAGAGGCAGCAGAAGTACCAAACAGCTTTCTTTACATGGAAAAGTATTAAGCTGTAAGAGACGGATGAGTATGAGAAGCCTGAGTAGCACCCAAGAACTGAGCAGGGTGAGCAGGCAGGCAGCCTTTGCTCCGATGGTTGCTCAGTCCTGGAAGGTGATCCCAACCCTACAAGCGCATGACACCACATGACTGATGTTTCAGGTCTATGAAAACTCAGAGCAAGACAGGCCAGGCAGAACTGTTACTAGGACAAATGGAAGCAAAACAAGGTACAAATCTGAGATTGCCCTGAACATTTCAGACAAATATCTTGTTATCAAAGACCTCTGTAACAGACAAACATAGGGCTGCAAATCACAACTGGAGGAGAGAGCACTGAGTTACATTACATCATAACCACCAGATACCACAGATGCACAAAATACATGTTAGTAGGTGAAGGGCACAGACACCATCAACCATAGAGGAAGTGCAGGTGGAAGGAAACACAGCAGCACCTCCGGGAACAGGAGGGGAAGCAGCACCCAGCCTGCAAGGGCAGCCTCAGAAATGCCCTCATTCTAGCCCTCAGTCTAGCAAGCACCAACCAAAAGGGGGAACTGCTGTTCTCTAATGTTCATTCAGCTGAAAAGTAGAAACCAGTCATGTAAGCATGTCATCTGAACTGAAAGACTATGCAGGTGAATAAAGTCAAGGCAGAAATGAGACAAATGCACTGAGCCAAATGAACAAATGAGATTTTGGGACAGTTTTCTTGACAGTACAGGAAGCAAGATGCCTCAGCTATTTCCAAGACAGTCAGTGATGAAGTTTTTGAGGTCTCTTAGTAACACCATCAATTGCTGTGGCTGCAGAAAGATGTGACAACTCAGGAGGTCAAGCAAAAGCATTTGAAATAGCAGACATACTGGCTAATGGTACTAGATGCAGGAATACAGACATGCAAATAACCAAATATGCACAGCTACAGCCACAAAAAAAGATCAGTTGCATGCTAGATGCAAAGAAACACCTTATAATTTATGTCATAATTCATTTGTATTCTTGATTGTTGCACTGTGAAAATAATTATGCTATTTTTAAATTTTAATTACTGGAAGAGAGCATCTGTTATTTTTGCTACAAGTTAGATTACAAAACTTTATTACAGCAAATGAAAGCAACTCTACCAGTCCCAAGTCATGCCGAAGTACTTGTCTGCAATGACTTAAGCATGGAACACAGCTCCTATTTTGCTTCCGGAGATACAATGGAAAGTACATTTTTACATTCCTTGTCTCATTAGATAGGTGAAAGTTGTTGAGTAACTAATATCCCACCCGGACTGTAATTAATTACCATGCTTTTTTTCACTCCATTAGAGCATACCGACGTTCATACAAAGTACATCAAAGATAAAAGACGCGCTTTTAGCTAAATTCACACTTCCCTGAGCACAGGAACAAAAATAAATCCATTCCTGAGTTGGCATCAGGAGTGGTTCAGCTGCACATTCCTCAAGAAAAGGCATTTCTGAACTTCTCCCCCAGTAAGTTAACAATACTCTTGGCTTTATGAATCAAATGTACATTCACTGAACATCAGGGCGCCCACTGTATAACAAGAAAACCTCCTCGGTAAACACAAACCTGAGTTCTGAGTTAAACAAAATGAATCAAGCCAAAACATTTAAAAAACAACCCAGGAGGAATATTGTTAGGTGGTCACACTAGCAGGAATCACTGTAAGTCTGTCTGAAGCACTGGCTTAAACAGAAAATGCAATTTCAAGAATCTAGGTTAAAACACTAAAAGGAAGCCTGCAAAACCCTGATAGGACTGAATACAGCCTTCAAAGTGGTGGATAGCTGGAGAAGATAGACTATTATCTGTAAGACATCCAAAAGATTTAGACATGACTTAAAGATATTCTGTATTTGAGTCTTCTCCATTTTCTGGTGACAGGAGTAAAAGTTTTACCGGCATGTGTTCATGGAATTACTGCAAACACGGAACACCAGAAGCAGGTAAGTCAAAATACTGAAAGGCGATTTAAGAAACGAAAACAAACAAAAAGCCATATTTGTTGAATTTCTACTGCCATTACTATCTGTCTATGACACTGTTTTCATTACTCCTGAACAGAACCAGGAAGCTGCAGGGCTTTTCTCCTGCCCTGCAATGCCATCAGGCAGCACAGCCACGTGAACAACAGATGACTAACTGCTAGGTACAGGCTTGGCAGCTGTTCTAAGTAAGGAAGTCACTAAGCATTTTCAAGCACGTAATCATTAATGAACAACAGCTTGACATATAGACATGGACAAATATCTTTCTCTTCCTCTAAAGAAGCCTTAATAAAAAGGTAAGAAGATGGAAGTTTGTCAGATAACAAGGAGAAAATAACAGGGACTGACACCTGGGGAATCTGTTTTCCTATTTTGAAATGTCCTACTGGCTAATACCATAATTTCTGGGGCATCTTTGCCACATGGTTTGCATGCATCAGCATCATTCATGAATCATTAGGAATTAGTGTTCAAGTGAAATTCACAGCCAACCTTATTTTCATCCGAGACATCCTTTTAGATGCCTATTATCACATTACCTACTCAGCTACAAAGAACACTGCAGTGGGCAGTATAGCTTTGTATTTTCAGCCTGCCCTGACAATCTTTTCCTTTAGCCAGAAGGGATACAGCACCCTGCCATCCCATCATTCTGCTTTCCTCCCCATTGCTCTCCAGCACCTGCTCCTGTCACACTACTGAACAGGCTGGGGGAGTTCCTGGTGCCACGCAGCCTCTCCTCCCTCGGTTCTATGGTTTTGCTGCACAAAGAGCACTTGGCAACCATTGCTGAGATTAACATAAGGTCCAACGGCTCACTATAATACATTATGAGCAAACAAGCTAAATGTATCCAAGCAGAGGTCAAGCATCTAAAACATGAAGCAGCTCATACACTTCAGCATCAAGAATAAGAGCTGTAATGACAGTACATAAAAATGGCCAAGATGAAGTTAGTTTTCTCGTGTCATCACAATCAAGTACAATATGGGGTTGGTCTGGGGGATAGAACAGAATGAAAAACAGATGTGGACAATGATTAGTACTACTAGCAAGAAAAAGTACTACTTAACACAAAAAAAAATGAACAAGTCATAGAAGCAGAATTACTCTACTTTGTAACAGTATATTCCTGTCTATCAGAAGAGTTTTCTGAAACAAAATCCAGCTGTAAGAATGTGTCTACTATTGACCAACAGCAACTAACTATTCACTTAATCTTACCTGAATCAACCCCTCTATTAAGAAAAAGACCAAGAAGATTCAAATGCCAACATATCCAACCATTCCTTTATTGCAAAGCCTCTTTACTATCAAGTATTACACCCGTTTGTTCATGTAATGATAGGAGGAGTAACAAACAAATCACAGAATCATCCCATCCTTCCCACGGCTACATTCCCACAGCAGAAGCCTTACCTTCATCGTTTAGGGCCAAGGAACTTGCTAAGATAATAGCCACGGCAATCCCTACAGCTAACCACTTCCAGAGACAAAACCGCTGTAGCATTTTTTGTCAAACTTCACTCAAGCCAGATCTGGAAAAGAAATATTTGATACACAATTAGTCAACCAGCTTACATAAAGGTGGCTATAAACTATTCGATTGCTAAGACATAGACAGCATACACAGCGTATAATAGTGCAACACTGCTTCTGTTAAACAAAGTTCATCTCATTCATACACACAAGTGTACATCAGATAACCATGCATCCAAAGCAATAATCTTGAGTTTGCTTTACTAAGTCCAAATTTCCATAAAGCAAAACCTTTATTTTATTCTTCCCGCTTCAGCCTTATGCTTTGCAGCACTGAGGGGAAGTGATGCTATTGAGGGGTTCTGCTTATTACAGCTGATGCTCAATCGCCTGAGTGAGCCACGACTCAACATTCAAACACACTTCCCAGCAGAACCTCTCCCAAGAAAAACATCACTGAACCCAGTTCATGACCTTCTCTAATCGTGCTTTGAGGCCAGCAAAGGAGGAAAAATAAGAAGATAACACCAAATTCCACATGTATAAGAAAAAAAAAAAACAGAGAAATGCACTGGCCAAGACAGGTCTGGATGAATCCCAGAGTGTATTTAGAGTGATTAACATTCAGAAGTTATTTAAAACTTAATTTTATTGCTCCATTAAAGAGAATTAACATATTTCTGTAGCCTAGAACTGAATTATTTAAAAATATTCCTTCACATTAAAAAACATTGTGACAAATACAATGAACTTCCTAGCAACAGAAGCATGAAATGGGGAGGGAGTTATAGCATCATAAGAACAAGCTATTGTATAAAAAGGGTTTAAGTGCTTTCAATTTTCCCAAGCAAAACACTTGACTCAGACTTCATTGCCAGTTTCTGCATATAGCTTCCTACCGTGGTTACAGAACCGCTGCATTTCATTCCAAGTCAAACAAACAGACTATTCCCCCACTTACAGCTTTGGAGTTAACACAGCCTGATCCACCTCAGTGATATGTTACTGAAGTTGTGCTATCATTCCCTCCCACAAACTGAGCTTACAGAATAACACATATGTGCAGCCGTGTTCTCATTTGCACCACAAAATACTCCTTCTGGATGGTGCTCAGCATTGCACATGCCAAAAGGAAGCAGAGTTTCCACTAACAAGTTAGTTCCATTAAGTACTGAAAAAAAATTAGAATTTCTCTAAGATCTGAATAGTCAATACTCTGACAACATTTTGGTTAATCCGAAGGACACTACTATGATAGAAACATGTTCCAATCCAAAAAATAACACAAAAAGATTCAAGCAAGAACGTGTCAGTTCTCTGGAGGAAAAATACTAGATTTACGAAAAAGGAAAGGAAGCAAGCTGTGATGTTTAACTAACTCAATTCAGACAGCCATATTACTGGAATATTTTAGCCTCCCGGGTGTCTGACACCTCCCTACAGTTGCACAAGGGGAGGGCTCCTTTACACAGCAAGCAGAGCTCCTTTTAATCTCAGCAAAGACTCTGGAAATTACAATCACAGAATGGTTTGGGTTGGAAGGGACCTTCAAGATCATCTAATTCCAACCCCCTGCTATAGGCAGGGACACCTCCCTTTAGACCAGGTTGCTCACACACCATCCAGCCTGGCCTTGAGTGCTTCCAGGGATGGGGCATCCACAACCTCCCTGAGCAGCCTATTCCAGTGTCTCACCACACTCATATAGAGAACTTCTTTCTAATAGCTCATCTAAATCTACCTGGTTAGCTGAGATCCCACTCTCCATTTGGTTTTCCTCATATTCAAAAACTTGTTATGCAAGGAAATTGAAGCTTTAGGCTCATAAGTACAGTACCAGTAACTCAGTAACTATGGAACCACTAGAGGAAAAGCACAACAAATTCTCCAGGGGAAAAGGAAAACAGGGAAAAAAGAAAATTAATTCCCTCAGGAGCCCACTCAGGAGGTTTGCTCCAAACAGTTTATTTTCCCAATTTTCTTATCAAAATCACAAAAACAGTCATAGGCAAGAAAAACTTACACACTCAACCAGAAAAATACCCAAATGATAAAAAGAAAGCAAAACAAAACAAAACATAACAAAAAAAAATTGGGGGGGGAATTCCAATTTCTGGCATGTGTGCATTTAAAAAAGACAAAAAAGCTTCAATAAAGCTCTTTCTGGAGCGCTTGGTGCTGGATGATGAACAGGCACTGAGAAAAACACCCACACCACTGCACTGAGACACAACAGCATGAACATCTGTCCCCACAGGACTGCTGACAGGAGCTGATCACTGTAGGTTTTTGCAGCTCAACTGCAGCAGACTGATAATAGCACTCCAAGGAGCAATCACGTCTCCTCATCTCACTTCTGCTTTTTCAAAAACTATTATTTCTCACCAATGTAACTCCTGAAACAGTAACAACTCCAACTGGTCATCAAGTCATCTATGTCCCACATTTCAACAAGTTTTAAGGGGAGATGAAGATGAACTGAAAAAAGAAACCTCAAAATATTAAACATCAGTTACCACATCCAAGCATCTGGAATATATTTAAGACCCAGCAATATTACACTAACCTTAAATACCTAAGATTTAAGCTAAGATAAGAACCAATGTTATTACAGTACTTAAAAATATTGTGTTAATTTCAAGCTGAAAGGAGAAACATTGATTTAATTAGAATAAACAGTCTTAGGTCAGAGGAAAAAAAAACACCAATGCAAGTTTGCATGTTCTCTGTAAGAAAATAAAATTGGAAGTTACAAGAGGATATTAAGGGACACAGTATCAAAAGCCTTGCAGAAATCAAAGTACACAGCATCCACTGCTGTCTCCTCACTGCATGACATTGGCTTTACTCCAGTCCATAGGCACCTCTCCCATTTTCTACAGCCTTTCAAAGATGATAGAGAGTGGCTTGTCAGTCACTTCTGTCAGCTCCCTCAGCACTCATGGGTGCATCCTATCAAGGCCCATAGATTTGTGTGCAAGACAATCTCTGAACAGATTATCCTTGATGAAGTCTTCAATTCCCCAGACGCTCTTTCAATCCAGGGTGTTGGATTCCCAAGGGGCAGCCTCAGAAGTGAAGAATGAAGCAAAGAAGGCACTCAGTAATTCCATCTTCTCGGTGCCTCTGTTACCAGGGCACTCACCTCAATCAGCAACAGATCCACATTTCTCTAGTCTGCCTTTTGCTATTGACACAGTTAAAGAAGCCTTTCTTCTTGTCCTAGACTTTCTTCACCAGATGTAACTCCAAGTGGGCCTTAGTCTTCCTCATGGCATCCCTGCATGCCCTGACTACATTCCTATATTTCTCCCATGTGGCCTTTTCCACATTCCATACACTTGTTTCTTCCATTTTTGCTTTTACATGAGCTCCTTGCTCATGCATGCAAGACTGACTGCAATAAGATCATAGCCCTCTGAACACTATTAAGTTACACAGCCAACCAGAATTCCTTCAAGTATCAAGTCTTACATATATGGTTTAGTGCTGTTGCCTAAATAGTGTTGCCTTTTGATAAAACATTGAATTATAGTGTAAACTACTTTTAGGAATCTATGTACAGCACGCTTTGAACAGAGGAAAAATTTCAGGGGATCGTTTTATTACGGCCTCATCTGTATTACCACTGAGCGGATAAAACACTTTTAAAGATTGCAGACACAGAAGTAGAATCCCTGAAGTGCAAATGCTTGTTGTGAGATGCAATAGGTTCAGTCATATATCAGAAATGTCATTAGAAACAAAAAATAAATCTTTAATAGAAGCCAAAAAAGGAGATAAATTTGCTTTTCAGTATGACAGTGTTTCTGGTTAAGCTAAAGCTATGGTCCACTAAAATATGCATCTCAAATGTTTTATTTTCACTGCTGAAAGAATTACATTCATCTGTCACAACAGAAGGAAACAGAAAATATTTAAAAACAAGAACAGTCAGAAAAGCAACTCTAGTTTGTCCCAAACCCGTTCTTAACCAACGGCCTGCTTTGGGCAGCAAGCACCGTCACGCAGGCAGGCATGGCAGAGCACCCATCAGCTCCCTGATTTACAGTCTGTGGGTGCCCTCCTGGGCATTCCCGCATGTGGATGTTGGGTACCAGCACAAAGCTTCCAGAAAGGGTTTTTGCTCTGGTGAGCTGTGTCCTGAGACTGAACCGCACATCTGCAGTACATCAGCTGGGAAACTACAGGGCTGGAAAATACCCTCAGACTTTACCAGAAAAAATGAATAATTCCAGCTTAGGACTTGAGAGACATCCTGGGAAGTCAGACATCAGCCCACAAATTCCCATGCCCACTCACACCACTTCCCAGGCAGCTGCTGAGCCCATCTCAGCGTCGACTCACCATCAGCATGGAGCGAGAGCCAGCGCAAGAGAGCTTACCTTGGAATTCAGCCTTCTTAGCTATTTACAGCTCCAATTCTCTGTAACTCCAAGTGGGAAGAACTGTGCAGAACTGTTACTAAAGCCAAACATCTGCTGTATGCTTTTCAGAAGTAGTTAAGCACATGCAAATATTTGGCTTAACAGGGGCTATGCTGAATAATTTAAAGTGCAAATACAACTTTTTCTCCAATTCATCATTTACCAAAAGCCAGAACATTATCACAATCTCTATTTTACTAACAGTGCCCATGTAAATATTTCTGCCCATGGACTCCTTAGTAATACCCACCTCCTCTTACATTAGCTATAAGATCTTCACGTTACAGAACTGGGACAAACTGCATGAGTTTTATTATTCTCCTTTCTCACTGGATCCTTTCAAAAACATGAAGATTTTTAAGACTGAGTTTTAACATCAAGCATGTTCATTCGTATTTCATGCGTGAAACCATTCCTCCTTACATTCAAGTACATTCCCACATTCCCCCTTCCCCATTTGCCTCAGTTTCAATTCCACTTTTTCCCCTGAACTCTGGTTCTTTTGTGTTCTTCTGACAGAAATGATCATTTTTACATAATGGCCATAGTCACTACCACAGCAAAATATTTCCAAGCTGAAGCAGAGGATTGACAATGGGAAGTTACTTTCCCTCCATATTAGCTCAGAAGTA